ATTGCACCATAAAGTTGTAATGCTATCATTTGAATATGTACCATTCTAACTTCAATAACTTAGAAATTTCTGTTCCTTTACAGTTTTGTCCCCACTCCTTTTGTTTCTTGATGTCCCTAATTACATCGTTATACACTGTGTGTCCACTAACTAAGCTAGTAATTATTTTATCTGGATTAGTCTCTTAAATCATATAAAAAACAAAATTTGAGTTACAAACAAAAATAACTCAATAATACTAGCTTTTAGACTAATAATTTGTTTTTTAAATATATGTCTCTTAAATCACGCAGAAAACAGTAAGCCCAACTGTAAACTAATTTTACAATAAAGCTAGCTTTTACACTTGCCCAGGTCTTCACCTTTATTGAAATATTTATTTCTCCATAACATTTTGAGCTATTGTCCAGTGTGATGCTATAATATTCCCTGAACTTTTCTTACAGAGCAGGTCTGATGATAACAAACTTCTCTTGATTAACTGTTTTTGTTTTTCTTTTCTTTTAGCACTTTCAATAAATTGACCCACTACTTTCCGGCTTCCAAAGTTTTTAATAAAAAAATCTGCTCATAATACTATTGAAGATCCCTTCAATAGTGTATGAAAATTTACTTTTTTTGTTGTTTTTAAGATTTGCAAGCCAATAATAAATTCTTAACATATTACTGACACACTGAAGCAACCAGAGGGGTGGGTGAGAGTAGAGGAGTGAAGGGGCCCAGTGTGTTAGGGGGAAAAGGCAGTCCCAAAGCAAATTCCATACAGGCTTTGTGGACTCCACCCCCACCCCAGGTCAAAGCCAAAGACACTGGGAACTCCAAATCCCATCACCACCAAAGGGAAGGTGGCTGGGACCTGAGGGTGGGGTTAAGCAGCCAGGTGGATACAAAAGGCAGACACGTGGGCTTTGGGGGCTCTCTCCATTTTGGGGCCCTCGGCCAGCTCGCGGCGTCCGTCTAGCTCTGAGAGTGACTTTGGGGTTTCCAGGTCCTCGGATCGGGTAGGACGCATTAAAGACTTTATTTCCCTATTTTCTCCCTGAGTTGTACATTTTCCTTATTTCTTTTTCTCTTGTAAATAAACCTTTTATTAACCCTTTTGCGTGTGTCTGTAGTAGAGTATTCATAAGTCCCTTTAAAGCGCGCGGGTGAGGACCCACAGCCAGGAACCCGTTTAATATCGGGGTTGCTCTATAACAAGTGGACCATGGTGGAGTATTGCTGAGGCACTAATGGGTGACAGAGTATGAAAGTTTGCCTGTGTAAAGGTTTGAACCTATAAGCCCCCAAACAGATACAGAGATATAAACCTACTTTGTCTCAATTAACATAATTTGGAGGGAAAGTAAAGATTTGTTCCTTAACAATTGTCCATTAACTGATTATAATCTGTCTCTATGCATGTCTCTGAGTTCATTTTATTGAGAATTCACTGAGTTTCTTGGAGACTATATTCATTTTTTTCCATCAAATTTGAGAAGTTGTCAGCCATTATTTGTTCAAATATTATCTCTGCCCCTTTTTCTTTCTCTTCTGCTGTAAACCTCCCACAGTGGTCTCCCACAGGTCTTTTAGTCTCTGTTTGCTTGTCTTTAATCTTTTTTTTTCTGTTCCTTAGAATCTCCAGGTCTTAGTTTCAAGCTCACTGAATCTTCGACCTGCTTGAATTTGCTTTTCAATCTCACCAGTGAATTTTTCACCTCAGTTATTATACTTTAAATAACAAAGTTTCCTTTTTTTAAGTATTTCTCTCTTTTTATTGATATTTCCATTTTGTACATACATCATTTTCCTAACTTTCTCCACATCTTCATGTGGAGAAACTTCATGTTTATAATTTTCTCCACATTTTCCATGTTCTTGGAGAATCTTTAAGACAGTTGTTTTAAAGTCATTGCCTACTATAATTACCATATGTCTTTTTGGAACATATTTTCCTATTTATTAATATTTGTCTACCTTATGATTTTTTTCTTTTTTGCTGAAATGTGGATATTTGTACCTAATCATATAACTTTGGAAATAAGATTTTCCCCTTTAAGGGTTAGGTTTTTTTGGTTACTATTGTGTATTATTTTTTGTTTTTGTTTTTTGTTTTTTAATTTTTGTAGCCTATCTCTCTGCTGATGGCCAACCTGATTATAAATTTAAGATCTTTTCTTAGTCTTTCATTTGGTATGCATGGTTACTTTCTAATTTTCCCAGTATATGCCGTTGTTTTCAAAATTCCTTGTCATTAATGTCTGACTCTGAAAAGAGGCAAAATAGAGAAGTGGATGGGGGGTACCAACCTTTTGAAAGCCCTGAAAGATACTTCAGCTGGACATGGAGGAGCTTGCAACATAAATATTTGGCTGCTCACCTCTTTGTATTTACTTCAGTCATCAGAGGTAGCAATCAGTGGTCACAATCAGAGATGTCTAACATTTGGGGGACAGAGCCCTTTTTGTCCACCCTGGCTCCTAACAGCTATATGCAAGCTGTTCCAAGAACATCATGCACGACTGCCTGCCACACAGCTATGGGAGGGGGTTAGGTAGCTACTACTATGCTAAAAGTCAAAACTGACCATAATAAATTGCAATTAACCATGTATGTTTTCCCCTGAAAAATGCAGTCCTTCAAAAAGATTCCAGAGTTTCAAAATTGTTCCATCAGATAGATTCCTATGTTCTCTAGATGGGGAGACAAATTCCTGGAGCTTTCTACTCTGCCATCTTCCTGTTTATTAGCATAGGATGAGACTGATGAAGTCGATGATTTTATATCAGATTTCACAATGATGCTAATTTATGTGTTTGCTCAACAGGGTCACAAATTTTACAAATGAAACTTTTTTTTTTTAAATTTAAATTCAAACTGTATAATCTACTTTGTTTTGAATTGTACCCCTAGTACCAGGAGAAGTCTGATTTTGTGTTCATTAAATGTTTGTTAAAAGAGGAACTGAGTACTTTGTGTTCTGCTGAGAAATTCTGCAGGCTTGCTGACCAGTACAGCATCCAAATCACAGATTAGGTGTATCACAGATTGGCACAGTGGCAGAAAGACTATGTCCCTGTGTTCCTATGCTTACAGAACCAGATTATTCAGTAAGCCAAGTAAGGAACTTAGTGCAAAATATTGTTAAATTCAGCTGGGGGAATAAAGTTGTAATTTTCTCAAATTCATTGTCACCAACTGTCTGACATGTTTTTATCCACTTAGTTCTTCTTTTCTAGATTTCAAATAGGATTTCTAATAATAAATCTGAACCAATTCCATCATCAAGTTGTTCATATTCTTTACATTTCTGTCTTCAATAATTATATGCTAGTCTTGAATATGAAAATGATACCTGATCCAATATTCATAATGCACATACTTTGAGTGATTATATTTTGCGGAGGTGTGGGTTTATTTGATCCCGACTTCCCACCCCCCCGTTTTCATGTAACCATGAGTACCATGTATAAGACTGTCACATAAATGTGGCTCACACCTTATACCAAAAATAGGGCTGATGGGCTGATTCATCAAACTAATTGTGAATTCAGTAAGGTCCCTTCCTTCATCTCATTATCAACAAGAAGCAGCAAAAGAGAGTAGTTGCCTATCATCCATCTAAAGGGATACTGAAATTTACCCAAAGGACAAAAATGAACACTATTTACTACCATAAATCTGCTGCTATGGATACTTGGATGATAAAAGATAAAATTGACAAGCCTGGGAGCTTTGCAATGATCAGATTGTCAGGAAGGATTAACAGTCTGTTCTGACAATAAGAGAACAGGAGCAAAGAATGTCCTGGTGATACATGAATTTAAAATATTGTGGGGCATGTTTGGAAGACAGGTCAACCTAAGGGCACAGAAACAAAGGGAAGTAATCTGAGAAATCTAGAGGCACTGGATTTAAGATCAAAGTATAACTCAGTCTTCTTCTCATAAACACTTTAAGTATGAAAAATTTGATTACATTATTATAAATAGTACTGATTCACTGTTAAAACAGAATACAAAGTCTCTTAAGTTAATGTAGCAATATATTCTGGTTCTATATCATGCTGTTAGTTCAGATGTAAATAATAGCAGTGTTTCCTTTAACTCACAAAGCATTCTGCTATCTGTGTGTGAGTACATGTGTGTATGTACGAGCATATGCACACACTTGTGCACATGTTTATATGTTTTTTATATGCACATAGCTTTTGATTTTATTCTTTTTGGTTTTGCAAAAATAGAATGACTGTGATTCTGTTATCTTTTTCCACTGAGTTTGTGTCTTAAAATCTTTTTTTTCCTGTTATTCAAAATAACCTTTTTTAAAAAAAATTAACACATACTCACCATTAAATAGCTATTTAATCCTCTACTAAGTCATTTGTATTAATTCAAATTTTGCATGATGGCAAATAGTTTTGCCACATATATTTTTTACCCATAACTGTGCACATGCTTTAGTATTATCATAGGACAATTTTTTATCCTATATATAGCCTCCTTTTTTATCCTAATGATATTACTGGATCAAAGAACATTGATATTAAAATAATAATTAATGTTCCCAAGCACAGCCCATTTTTGAGTCTTCAATTTAAAGTTCAAGTATTTTCCTTAATAATGTTTCCACTTTAGAGAGTTTCAATATTTTAAGCCACCAAGATTTCTACGAGGAACACAACATAAAATATATTGTTCTGTCATTTATCTTTACAAAAAAAAAAGCACCCTTCTTTGAAGTGAGAAACTGGTCAAACAAGTAGAAAACAGACATTCCATCTGTCTACCATGATGTCTACACCCAGGGAGCCTGGAGTCCCCCTAATATCCCTATTGACAAAATGTATCAAGCCAACTATCAAATAGTATAAAATTGTTGTCTCTTCTTATAAGTAAAATTAGACAACTAATCTTGCATTATTCTTTTACCAATCTTCCCTCTATTCACTCCTCTTTCCTTCCATGCAAGTCTTTCCTACACTATCAGACTATAATAATAAAATGGTAAGTTCAAACCTTGAAGAAGGCATAGATGACTCAGATGGAGCTCTTGCCCTTGAAAAGTCCACAGTCGAGTCAGGGAGACAATCCTGTAAACAAAGAATTAGACAGCGTGATGAGTGCCATAATTATGCATCTAATATCATTAGCAAGATAAAACTGAGCAACTATTTTTTCCTAGGAGGAACTAGGACAGCTTCACAGAGAAGATGGTAATTGTGATATGTCTGGAAGGTCATTGCTTCTGAGGGAGGGAGACAGAAAGTGGGACAGCTGGACAGATGGCACCTGGGCTCTGACTGCATCATATTCAAGCTGCAGTGTGGAGGGAAGCTGTTCTAGAACCTGCTTAATGCAGACAGCAGTAATATGGTGGTTTTTACTAGTACCCTAATATATCACAGCTAGCTGAGAGGGAAAACCAGCTCTGAAACAATGTGTCTATCTTCTCTTAGTTCCCTGCCTTTGTAGAGAATGTCTCAGAAATTTGATTTCCTGTATTTAAGAGAAGCATATTTTGTGCTGTCTGCAATGTATTTTACTCACTTTATTACATTACAAACATTCCTTATTTTTTTTCATATTACCTTCTGATTCTTTTGAGATGTGTGTGTGTGTATAATCTACTTCATTATTTTTTATATTCATAACTATTTCTTCAAAAATTGAATCAAGTGCTTCAATACACCATTTTTTTTGCACACTAATCTCTACCCTAGCTTATTCTTGGAGGGCAATATTTGGCCAATACATAGGTGCCCATCCTGCTGATCAGAAAGGAAGATTCACGAGGAGGCTCAAACTAGGTAGATGTGTAACTCTAAACATCACTGGAATATTCTAATCACAACCACCAGACCATTTGCAATATCTGAAATGAAGCCTCTCAGGCATGTCGGGAATGTTTGCGTTTTCCTCTAAGTAATTGAAAACAAGTTTCTCAAAGTTTGGCTATGTTACAAGAACCTTAGATTTCATATTTTATTACAATATACAATTTGATATTTAATCATCGTACCTTCAAGCTAGAGATAATCTGGTTATATTAATATGAACAGGTTATATTATGCTATGGCAACAAATCCTCAAATCTCAGTAACTTTAAAATAGCATGGTTTATTTCTAGATCACACTACATGGCCTTTGCATATCTATGGAAGCTTTGCTCTGTGTTATCCTTTTTCTTGTTCTACCATATGGAGCATCTCCAAATATGGCAGTAGGGAAAGAAGGTTCAAGAACATCTCAAGTAAATGTGCTGTCCCAAGAAGGTACACATCATATCCAGCTCTAAATCACTGCTTGGAATCAGTTATATAACCATGCCTAATTCAAGGGAATTCCTGGAAGAGAGTGTGCAGGGAGGATGCCTGTAGGCAATAGCTAGGGTTTAACTAGAATGTGAGGTTCCCCAGGAAGGCAAACATAAGTGCTAGAGGCTGCAGATTTCACTGTATGACTTTGGGTAAGTGCAGTCCTGCTGGAACAGCATGGAGAGAATGGGCTGAGATGTGCTGAGTGTCAGGGGCAGCTCAGAGAACTCAGGAATCAGGTCAGAGGGGCTGTAGTACTGCCTACTCTTCCCAGAAAGAGCCCTATCTAGGGAACTAGGGTTCGGGCAGGATGGAAGATCTAGGGAATTCTAGGGCAGGAGCCAGGTAGGGTATGCTGCAAATCTAAAGACCAGTGATCCAAGCAGAGTTGTTGGCTTCTGATGCAGAAACTTGGGCGCCCAATGCAATGTCTGTGAATACCTAGGACACTACAACCCCAAACTGCCATTCTGCTTCACAACGTCAGGCCAGCTGCTCCTCCTGGTCAGAGGAGGTTATAATATGCCCCAGGATAGCCTCATTTCAGTTCCCCCTCAGGGCATTTGTCTATCTTCTTAAGGTAAAGCCAAGGGGATTTCTTCAGAGAATGGAGTGAGAGAAACAGAGGCATAATGGATGATGCTCAGGTTAATGGTTAGAGCAGGGCAAATGGGCGATTGTGGAGAGGACTACTGTGAGGAGAGTGAGGTGTTGACAAAATATTAAGGTTAGCATTTAACGGTATTCTGAATGTCCAATTCTGTGCATAAGTAACTCATTTGTATGGCCTTAAGATCACTGAGGGCAGGAAAATCAGGAATGTGTGGAAGATAAGGGAAGAAAATGCTTCAAAGAGTAATGACTAAAAAGTTGTTTTGTGCCATGTGTCAAGTTAGACAAGGATTAAGACTGAAACATGGTGTCCATAAAATGGAGGTCATTGATGATGATGATTTAAAACAGCTTTGGTGGAGAGATGAGAACAAAAGCCTGAGAGAGAGAGGGAGAAGAGAAATTGAATGTAGCAAATATAGACAATTCTTCAGGGGAGAGGGAGAAAGGAAAAGCTACAGGGGGAGAAATGTCCATAATTTAGTATTCTCCCAGTTTCTTTCACCCCAAACTTTCATCTCTGGTTTTAGTAATGAGTCCTTTGAGTTCCTGATTTTTCAGCAGGGATGGAGTCAAAAAAACAAACACTTTATTCTGATGGGTGAGAAAAGTTCTATAAAAATTTTTCTACCAAGACACATGTGAAAGGAAGTGGCAACATGTGGGAGTTGAACTGGGATCAGCAACTTTTTCTCTGAATTTGTTGATTTGGAAATCATTTGTCTGGCTCTGCAATTGAATCATCATTTGCTCTCCCACTTTTTCTTAAAGTCTCATATGCTGATGCCAGTTAAGAGTAATACGTTTTACTCTGTCAACTTTTGCTTAGCACTGAGGATCTAAAAGTACGTTTAGAAGGTAATTTGAACAGACTCTTTCAAGATAGTGCATCTTTTAGTAGATCCACGGACAGTAAATATAACTTAATAATCATGCCAAACATTTCTTTGCATTGTAAAATTGAATTGGCGGCTTTGCATAATAAAGGGCTAAAATTATGAACCACATAAGATTTGCCTGAAACTTAATTGTTCAGGCTCAAAATCTCCGCTGAATTCTCTTATGCTTGCTTTTGTATTTATCCATTTTTGTGTGACTGCTTACAGCAGGCATTTCATTTTCATCTATTTTCATAAAGATAAATTTTAATATGCCAAAGCCACTCCAATACCATTCATAATATCATATATATTATATATATAAACATATTTCCCATCATAATTGACATACTAGTATTTAGGAACTTGGTTCTTTGTGGATGCATTAAGAGCAGTATTCCTTCATAGAATGTAATATTTTATAATCTTTTGTTTCTTTATTGCTTGCTATGCTTTACAATAGGTTTATAAAATTAGGCGTTTTTGTGCAAAAAAAAAAATCACCAGGGTGATACAGAAAAGAGAAAGTAAGAGTGAAGATAATGGAGCATTTCCATTTTTCTCTAAGGCATAAGTTTTAGCTCCATGGAAACTCCTGAGAAAGAATCCAGCAAGAGTGATGTCATGGAGTTTTACATTTTCCAAGTAAAAATTCTGGAACATAGTTGCTGCTTACAAATTTAATCTTCTGTCTTCTAATAGAAATTAGGGAATTAGGAAAGGGCAGGAGGGACCTCTGAATTATTCTAATCTGATCTTACTGTGCAGATGAGAAAACTAAGCAATGTTATTCTACTAATCACCTTTCTGTGACATAGCAAATAGTAAAATATAGGTTTCTGATGCTGTTCTAGAGGTCCATGTATTACAACATACACCTATCAAACACAAGGACAAGCATCATTCAGATCTTCTCTGAAAGATACAAAGGTGTGGAATTTCTCTTTGCCCTTAGATGACTCACTCCATTATCCAAGGATAAGAGAAATTTAAATATCTAAAGTACAAGATTCATTTTGTTAAGTGTCATGAGAATGATGTGAAGGTTTAAGGAAGGGAAGATAAAATGAAGTTTGGGCAAACACTATAAATTTCTTAAATGAGTAGGATTAAACTAGTGATGAACTTGCAAAGATAAGATTGCAATAAAGAAAGAAGTAAAAGAGGATGATAAACCTGACAGAGGGAGTGTCATTAGCAAGGACATAAAAGTACACAGTGATAAAAAAAGAGCAACTAGTCTAATGTGACTGAATTATAATTTACATTTTTCTGTCATGTTACTTTATGCCCAGCGATCATCATATTTTAAAGGAACTTAAATATTAGAATAGCTTTGTCTTAAATAATAACTCACTGGAGTCACTACACAAAATAGCCTTGATAACCATTCTCTGGACTTGGAGAATGTCATTGTGCATCCTTTACCAAAGTTTTTAATGCATTTGAAAGAAAAGAGGAAAATGTGTGGTGCCCTGACCACTTGTTTTGGTCATTTGTTTGTGTGTTTCCTCGCAAAGTCATTCCCTGTCCCTCTCCTGCTCTCCTGTAAATTATCGTCTTACTTTCCCAAGCAGATTGCCCAGGCTCCCTTTACCAAATAGCTACCAGTTAGATTCCACATTGGCATCAAAGGATGGGAGGAAAGAAATAGCACTATAGTGATCTCCTCTCCTTTCTGGTTTCAACTCTTGCATAGTCTCTGCCATGTTTCCAATTTCAGCCTGGCTGTCTCACATTTTCAGATTCTTCCCCATGGTTGTAGGTCCTACTAAGCATCTCCAGCTCATAGAATATGGTAATATCAAAGTCTCCCTTTGAACCCCAGTTCTGGCCTGATACCATTCTGTTGATGCTAAATTCTGGCTACTTCACAATTCCTCATTTGTCTTTTCAACTCTTTCATCATATAAGATTAAAGAGTCACATAACTGCAATGTTAAAAAAGTGAAACTGTCTTAAGATATAATTAGAACTGAGGCCTCACAGTTATCATGGATCGGTCTCTTTATTCCCATTTCTGAAATCTTCTGTCTTCTCCCTTAGTCTTCACTTCAGAACAACTATTTCTATATAATCAGAATGAGACTGCTGGCTGGCACAAGTGTATACATCCTTGCTTGTTCTCTCTATATAACACATATGAGTGAAATCACTTGTAGTTTAAGATTTTATTTTGTCAGAGCAATTTTAGGTTCATAGCAAAATAGAGAGAGATACAGATATTTCCCACATATTTCTCACTCCCGCCTCCCCTGACACACAGCCTCCCTCATTATAAACACC